ATATATATATTTATTTATTTATTTATGCACCCCACAAGCTGCACTCTCATGATAAACTGTCATAGAGGAGCCTCTCGGCAATAGTTGGCTTTTTCCGAGTCTTGTTGTATAATGCTTTCTTGCCGGAATCGACATGCAGACAACAGATCCTGAACCTGCGCACGAACTTCGATGCTAAAATCAACATCTCCAGATTAAATGCTTGGTTGAAATCTCTTTGCAAGCCCCTTTTCCCTAAACCCTAAGCCTCTAAACCCACCCTAACTTAAACCCAAAGCCCCTATAGGCCCCTATAAGCCCTTACAGACCCAAGCCCAAGTTGACAGACTGCACTTAGATTGGGAGCAGCGGAGCATTTTGGCCGTCTTCCGCGAGATGGCGAAATCCTCCGCCGGCGTTACACCGGTGCGGACCCTAAGTTTGGGGGGTCTAGGGTTGAGGGTTTGGCATTGGGGTTGGTTTAAGGGACGCCTATTACAGGATTACATAAAGGGTTGAGCTCGAAATTTTGCATCTGAGCTTGCTGAGGCATGCGCCAGGACCAATCGGATGCAGCAGAAAGGGTTCGAGAGATGAAACTATATCTGAAGGGGGTTGTCGGGCGCAGGGGCAAAGGTTTGTATAATTGGAGTAGCCAGCCTTGCTTGAGCAACAAGTTCCAGTGATGATGAGAAAGCATCACGGAGGTTTGGTTTCTCAAGATCCGTCCCTTCAGGCCGAGCGTGCGGGCGAGAAGTCAGAGCGCAAGGTGGCGCGTCCAAGATTGGTTAAAGGTCGGGTTGAAGTTTCGGATGCCCTTCGCTTGGTGGTTTCGGATTCCGGTCGGCTCCGGGATCGAGGATGTCGTGGTCCGGTTCGGTAGGCGATCGACTCGCACATTATCCTAAACTTTGACCCGATCGCGGGTTGGAACCACAAAAGACAAACCCAAACCCGGAAAGTCTTGAGGCCTCCTAAACCCCTACAGAGCCCTACGGTCCGTCTTGCCATGTCCTCTTCCTCCGTTTTAGAGGGCTCAGGGCTTTCGGGTTAAGGGTTTTCTTGCATCGGCATTTCCTGCACTATACCCTCTTAAGGTTTTTTTTGCTACTTTGAGATCAGGGCTTAGTCATACGAGGCCCCGCCCTAATCCCTGAACCGTGCCCTTACGGGTGATAATTGCAACTCGGCAGGTCAAGCACACTCAACACTCTTAACCGAGTGCAACCTACTTCTACTCAGTTGTGTCGCGGCCCAAGGAGTTGGTAACACACTTCGTTATCCTCTGACATGATCGTGGCAGTTCTTCTCACTCGGGTCCTATTCCAAGCATCCCTGGGGATGCAAGCCGAACTTCCCCCCTGACAATGAACTAACATTGGTACCAGGACGGCCGCGAGGGCGGAGGCAAGGCAGAAACTGCTGACGACGCTGTCAGGCCGCTCCCTTTGTTTTGAGTTTGTTTCTTGGTTGGGGGTTCTTAGTTTTGTTGTTTTTAGGCGTGGGCTTTAGGATGCTTTAGGACTGTGGGTTAGGGCCCCCTTTGGGTTGTAGGGTTTCAGCAGTCCAGAGCTGAACCTACATGGTCTTCCGCTCTGGGTTGAAAGTTGTGTAGACGTAACGCAAAACCCGGAATATCCAGCCTGTGGGAGGTCTGGACATCCCGCGGTTTCGAGTTTGAGGTCTAGGTATTTGTTTCGCCGCCGTGGGAGCATGGTAGTTTGGTTTGATCTGAGCTACACTGGATCGGCGGCAAACCTTCATGAAGAGAGTAGCAACAACAAGAGCCTCAAGGTACTGCTTGAAAAAACACCAAAAAGCCGCCGTCGTCATCATCATCTTCATCAGCATCATCAATGTCACCATATCTGCCTCAACAGCCGCAGCACAGAGCAAGTAGCACCCAGCAAGAGTGCACCATGCTGCATCGCAACTTGGGTTTCCGCAGGGTTTTGAGCTGAAGTGTAGAGCACCCTCGGGCCCATGGTGTTTCTCTGGGAGTAATTCTGAAGCGCAGAGGCTCATAGGGATTTTGGATTTGGGATTGATCAGCATTGGGCTTTGTAAGTCATCAGAAACATCGACTCCGGTCGGAAGCGCCCTGGAAGCCCCGATTAAGCCCGGTCCGGAGCCCGAAACTCGAAAGAGACATGCAACCGCCCTCTCTTCAGGGCTAGCTCCGGGGCCATGATCTCCTGGGCCGAGGTGGAGCGGGTTTAGGAGTTTAGGGTCGAGGCTAGGCGATGATGGTGCTTGGGAGGTATAGTGAGGCGGCCTGGATGATGATCGCGGAGAACCCTCAACCCTAAACCCTAAGCCCAGAACGCTGAGGATTTCGGGCTAGGTTCTGAGGTCTGTGGCAGCCTCAAAGCTTGCTTTGGGGCTTGCAAGTACCAATTGCAAGATTTCGCTTGTATTCGATAGCCAGATCCGGATATTATATAGCTCTTTTTCCGGCGGCGGGGTGTTTTTTGAAGTAGAAGCTGGCTATTGACCGTTGTCCTTACCATGTCATGACCCCTATGTTCGCACGTGCAGTGGCCCTTGCACGCCTACCCCTCTTCCCTGTACGCCTCAACCCCCCGCCCAACACCCCCCCCAATCCCCAAACTCCAAGCCCCCCCAAGTTTCGAATCCCTGAACTCCATGTCCGAACCTTCAAACAGGTTGCCAAAAGCTTGCGCGGAAAGCTCTCCAGCGCAACTTTGCCCCAGTGGAACCCAGGCTGTTGGGGAGTTAGGGTGCAGGAAAACTCGCACAGGTTTTGGAGGAGTGTAGAGTTCCAAATTCCCAAGGAGATAAGGCCTGTTTGCTGGGCATACTTGCTTTGGTTGGCCAGTTGAAGAGAATTTTGCCTATGTCAGCAGGGCTGATGCGGTTTCGGCGATTGGACACCGGCTGATGGGTCTCTGTTTACACTCCCTTGCTTGAGATGCTTGCTAGCTAGTGAAGCCCTGCGTCATGATTTTGCTTATCGGGTTCATCTTTTTGAAAGGCATGTGCTCTTCGCTTCTACATGCCAGCTTAGGCACACATCCAGCGCCTGGGCGTCTATTTCGGCCTGAAGGGGCTGAAAGGCGCAGGGGTTTTGAGGTGCTCCTCATCCCTGGCTTGTAGTACTTGTACCCCTGGGATTACCTATCTTATAAGCTAGAAACATAGCGGAGAAGGTAACCAAGATTCTGATCTAGGATTAGGGGTGTATTGGTTATCGTTTTCGACACCCAGGGAAATCCTTATCCCTCTCTCTTGAACCCAGTACTTGGCTACTGGCAAGAGACGTGCCAACGTTTTTACCTTCCTGCTAGCACACTCGCATCAAGACAGTGCACGTTAAAACCAAAACAGTTGTCGACATGGGGCTCCTGCGTGCAGAACGGTTTTGCAACAGCGACTCGTTTTCGTTCAATGTTTAGGGTTCAGGTTTTCACGGCGTTATCGTCCCTGTAGCTGCATCAACCGATTAGCCCTTCAGGCTCTGCCATGTCATTGCTGCTTCCCCAACCCTTCCTGCTTGTCTGCACTGTGTCTTGCAACTCTTACGAGCGGTTCGTTGATGACGACAGGATGACATGTATCGGAGCATGCAACAGTGGTTATTTCTGTACGGGCTTTCGGCTTGATCGTCAAGCCCTTGGCTGCCTTTCGAGAGAGATCTCATGATTGTGCGTAAGCTGCAGACCTTTTTCGGCAGTAGCGAAAGCAAAGCGCAGCCGCCCTGGCCATGGAGGCAAGATCCGGTTTAAGCTCTACGAAGAGCGGGTGGCCCTGCTCGTGCGCAGCCCAGCTTTGATCCACGGGCATCGAGAACACACCAAGTTTGTCGACACAGGTCCCCTAAACGTCAACCGGAAGCAGCCAACCCTACCATGCGCACGATGACTGGCGGGGCCTACACTGGCCGATATCGCGAGCCTTCGCCAATCCCCAAAGCTTTATCTGGGGAACCTAAAGCATTGTCAGGATTCTCTACGGCAGTCATAGAAGCTCTCTACAGAACTTTGAAGCAGCTTCGGCATCCCAGGCCCTCGCATGGAACCCCTGGGCCGATACCCGAGCTTCGCGCACAAGCAGCACCCCCCCCCCCTTCCGGCCCAAGAAAGGGTACAGCATGGGTTTTAGGACTGGTAGTCCTGATGTCTTGAGACACCGATTTCTACCCTGAAAGCTCTCATCCCGCATTCAAAGCCCGAAAGTCTTTCGAAGCTCAGAGCCCGCGAGTCCAAGAGTTCAGGTCACAGCCTCTCCAGAGAAGCGCCCCTGGGCGAAGAACCGTGGAAGTACTTGGGAGCCTCCGAACCCTCGCACTTGGGGGTTCATCAGGAAGGAGGGGGAAAGAGGCTTCAGGGCCTGCTTGAGGTTGAGGACGGGCTTGAGTCTTGAGGGAGTTTTGCTCGGGGACCATTCTGCAGTCGGGCAAACAGGTAGGTCAGGTAGGTCCGGGCAGGTGTTTTTCGGGCTGTGAAAGATAGTGTTTTGGAGCAGAAGCAAGACAGTGAAATGGTAGGGGGTGCTCGTGAAGCAAAGGTTCCAGATCGGAAAACTCTTGAAGCCAGTCTCCAGGGTTCGGGGTAACCTCGCGAACCTCCTGAACTGGAAGGTAACCGGATCGCTTTCGGCCTGCTTGACGTCGGCGGTGACGGCGTCGTCGGCCGTCGCGACGTCTTTGCAGCGCTGGCATCGGCACGCAGCGAGGAGAGCCTGGAAAAGCCGAGCCTAGGCCTAGTCCAAGTAAACATCATGCCAATAATTGATGCCATGCGAATGATATAAACGTGCGTGACACCTCAGGACGTGAGTTAAGGCCTTTGTTGGAATTCTGACACGAAACTTCAGAGCTCACTCACTTGAGTGCACTGTTTCTCCGATTCCCGGTCTCGATGTTCCAGAAGTGTGTAGATCGATTTCAAACGCTTTCAGGACCTGGCTCGGTGGACCCTGTAGCAAGTTAGCAAGCCTCGGCTTCATGCATTCCTCAGTCCATTTTTCTCAGGCGATTAGCTACGCAGCCAAAGCAGCAGGACACTGCGTACAACGAGTCCCTGGACGCGGTCTTTACGTCGCCTGGGTCCTATGGGATACACTTCGCAGACTCCGACACGCCGTCTCTGCTCGTCGTTGGAGTCGTTCCTGCAAGCCCGGCCGAGAATCAGGCGCCACGGTCTCTTGCCTTTCAACAGTGTGTCCCATGCGGTAGAAAGATGTCCTGTTCGATGCCAAGTTGCTCGAGCTGGTGTCTTGGGCTTGTTTGGTACGTGGCAGAAACACCCTACAGGGTCTATGCATGTCTACGTAGAGTCTACGAGGGGAACCTTGTATGGGCTACAAAGTTACAGACGGCTCAGGCTGCACGATCCCATCGTAGGTCGTGCGCCCTCAGCAGGCAACCTAGGAAGTCTCAGAAACACCTCCCAGTTTCCTAGTGAGTTTCCGAAAAGCCACATCAGGGCGTCCGTGTGGGGCACCGTCTATCCCGCATCAACGGCATCAGCGTGGACAAGTTGACCACTCAAGAGGTTCGAACCTTGCTGATGAATCCGTCAAGGCTGGGTGGCCCGGTTTCAGCAGCATAAGTGCCAGTTTCATGTAGGTCGAGGAACCAAAGGCAAGTCAGGATTATCCACCATCCGGGATCAGGAGAACTGTGACGAGTTTTTCAGTTTTTGATGCACGCGATGAACGCCGTGTGCCAATCTTTTGGTTAGTGGTCTGATCATTTTCAACCCGGAGGCTTTGGGTTCAAGGGCTGAGGGCGTAGGCATCCTAAGCTCTCAGGTACTGAACCCTGAGTCCTGAGCCCTAAACCTCTAAACCCTAGATCCTGAGCCATGAACTCTCCTTTTTTGGCCCTGAACCCAAAAACAACCCAAACCCTAAACCGGTGGCGCACCCTTCTGAAGAGCCAGGTTGTGCACAACGGACCAACCTGAACAGCCGAGCTTGCATCCCCAAGCTGGAGTAGTTTCCAGCAGTGATGGAACCTCAGAGCACGAAGCACTGAAAATGCCAGAAGCCGAAGACGCCCACGATATCATTAGTTCGTGACTTCCCCTACCCTGAAGTGCTTCATAAATCCAAGAAGAGCAGCAGCGTAAACAAAGCTCCTGAGACCGTTCCCGTCGTTCCCGTACTTCAATTTCCTCGTGGAACCCGTGCATCCCCTACGCCTACAGCTCCCGTCCCACGAGGCCTTTGTCCATGACGTTTCGCTACCGCCCAGCACCCGATGCCTCAGATAGCCTGCATCGTGTGCCCAATGGAAGCACGGCTTTGGCAGTCCTTACGGGTCGTTGTTCGTGCTTGCGTCTGACGCGTGTGTATGTCCGTTTTGCAGGATTTGGACTTAATATAGACAGATAACTGATATTTGTTTATGTATATATATATATATAAGAAAGCGATACACATACATACTCATAGGTAGACAGTGGCATGGATGTGCACTCTTTCGATCACAGCCGAGCACGTGCACAAACGCGCACTTTCATGCATACATTCATGCATACATATGCAATATCATACGGCATAAAACGAGCACTGGCAGCCAATTTACTAACTGCATAAAATGAACACACACCCACAAACCAACGAATACCCACAACACATGAGTCGATCAATCAGTCAGTGTGTCAGTATGTGTAATATACATATATACATATATACACATGTTCACACACACACACTGCCAAGCATACATTCATGCAGGCATCCTGCCTACAGATTTGCATGCATGCGAGCATGCATGCAAGCAATTACACGAATACACACGTGCAGACATGCATACGTACGTACATATAAAATATCTAGCAACACAGTTGTTACTTTTTGGCATTCAGTCGGGTCTTTGAGAAACAGAGGAATCTTCGACCTACGGGACTTGAAGCGCTTGCTCGAGGCAGGGACATGGACTCGCAAGGTTTAGGGTTTTAGGGTCTTGGTTTAGGTTTCAGGGTTTCGGGGCATCGACGAGGCGGCACTTCAGAGAGACCTCGTTCAAAAAGGGTTTCGGGGCAAAAAAGGCTTTTAGGGTTGGGCTCAGGTTTCAGGTTTCGGAATTTGGGTTGTTGGGGTGTCGCGGTTGCTGGAGTTGAGGATTGCGGGCTCAGGCCCTAGAACGCCTGTGGAGCGTGGAGAAAGTGGAGCTAGCTCCTCATAGTAGAGCACAAGAATAACCCTAAACCCTAAACCTTAAACCTGAATAATGACAATAACAATAATCGTAGGTTTTTGCCGGCTGGCTGGGTCTTACTCCGGCCTCCGAGTGCAGAGTTCAGAAGAGTTAGGAGTTTGGTCTGATAAGCATGGGGTTCGGTGCGTTCAGACGCGTTACATGTCACTTCGTTAGGCCTCGAGGTGCTGTGTTTAGAGATTTTTTGGTGTTGCTTGTTGCAAGCAATGCCTTGTCGACTCGCAGTTGTGGTTTTGATTAATATACTGGCGGTCTTGAGCAGCGTGCAAACTGAAGAAGACAAGAGACGGCTGCCCAAGACTCCGAGTGTAGGCCGAGGGGAGGGAATGCAAAGATCACGCCTGGCTCGCCCGAGTGGTGCTCAGAGATTTCGAGCCTTACTCGTACTGGAAGGAGATTGAGCGAGATAATAGGGCCGTCATCAGAAGAGCCCGACCTGGAGTGTGTAAAGTCGAAAGCATCACCTGTATCAGGTTTGCTTTTGATCCCTGCGACTCCAAATGACCGCTAGCCGTTAGCAGGCCTTGGCTACGGACCACGTCACCCGGCGGGTCAAGATCTTCGTGGAAAAAGCCGCTTGCTAGCTCATTGGGCTGGTGCTGTGGCTTGGATTTAGCGAGGTCCGAGCTGTGTGTGTTTGACTGCTTGCGCACGTGTGTACATATACGGCGGCTTACGATTGCTAGGTTTGAGTCTTGGTGTCTGTCTGTCGGCGCAGGCATACTCCTTAGATGTTGCTGTTTATCGATGAACATGATGCAGGTGTACATATATGTGTTGTGCATGCGTATGTGTGCATCTGTCCAAGTGTATTAATCATATCATATGTACATATATATATACATACACACACACACATATACATACACACGCGTGTGTGTATACTCATGTTCATTCACTTTGTCATGTGCATAGTTAGCACGTCTATACGTATGTACATTTGGGTATCCGCGCATGAAGTTGGTTGAATATGCAGCCGACAATGCAGTTCTACTGTAGCAGCAATGGCAGTTGCGCATTCAGCGCCCCTGGACCCGAAACCCGAAGCTCGGTGCTCAGTGGCAACCTCACGGTTGCTCCAGAAGCAGCGCTCTTGTCGTCTCGTGAACGACCTCCAACAAATGAGCCTTGGCCCGACACATCGCCTCGCGCCCTTTAGCACCTAGCGCCCAGATCCCTGGACGCCAAGGCCCAGAAACCCAGAACTTCCCCGCCTTCAGCTATGCCCCCCACAGCTTCACAAGACCGTAGTCATTAAACCCTATCTCTATAAAGAGCCGAGGCCAAGAACTTGAAAGCCGTGGAGCAGCATCTGCTGAACTCCCACCCATACTGCCAGGTCGAGGTGGAAGGCCCTCGGTGAGAGGTTTCCGGGGAGTTTACGACAACCGAAACCCTATAAACCCCTAAGAAGGGTTCGAAACCCTGCCACAGCTGCCCAAGCATCCACAAACCCACATCAAGCTTACCATGCAAATTTCTGCGGTTGAAGCCCACCACGCAGTATTTAAGATGTAACTTAGAGTGAGAGCATCAAGCTGGGGATGTTCTATCCCGAGCCTCTGGGCCATGGTCAGACATGTGCACCCAACCACTCAGATCAGTATGTAGCTACAGAATTCCATTCGAGCGCCGGTGCCACGAACCTCCTACCAAAACTGCAGCGCCGGAAAGCAAAAACACGGTTAGACAAAAGGTTATTGTAGTATATCATGGCATTCTTGCATCGGGGACAGGGGCCATAAGAGAATGTGATAGTAAATAATCGTTAAGTCGGGCCGACAGGCAAGCCACAGACACGCTGGCAGACCAAGGCACGGCACCTTCTCTTAGTTTGGGAAACAGGATCCACAGGGGGTCGCGCCCAAATTCCAGCACTGGCAGTGGTAGTCGTCGTCGTGATGGTGGTGCACGGTGGTGGTGGTGCTGGTGGTGATGATAGTAATAGCAGTAGTAGTAGTAGTAGTAGTAGTCGTAGTAGTCGTAGTCGTCGTCGTCGTAGTAGCAGTAGTAGTGGTAGTAGTAGTAGTAGTAGTAGCAGCAGCAGCAGTAGTAATAGCAGTGG